ATCTCATTATTTTATCTTATTCTGTTTATAAATATTATGGTTACATTCTGCATTATATGTAATTTATTAGCATTTTATGTTACTAACTATATATTTGTAATTTGTATATATTTGAATTGTTATTCATTATGTCAAATATTGTATTTTGAGTCCTATTGGAGAAATCTGTGGGCTATATATTTAAATAAATAAATAAATAACAAATAAATAATATATAACAAATCTATCTAGAACTCTTAATACTCAAATTTCTCATATCTTTAGTTTATATTTGTACACTTTAAAATGTAATTATATTGTATTATTGCTTGGGGGTTGAATAAATAAATAAATAAATAAATAAATAAATAATAAATACCGTACTTTAGTTCAAACACTGGTGTATCATAATAGTCTCTGCTCCGTGGCGATGAAAAACTGTTAAGATTTTCTCAAGCACATTTTGTCTTAATGTCATTTGATCCGGAGAAAAATCTCTCGTTCCTTTGGAGTCTTTAATATCAATTTCCCATCGTCGGCGGGGCAGCCCATTACTCAGCTGTGCTTTTAAGGCAAGTAATTTGGCAACTTCTTCATCAATCTAAAAATGAAATAATTTCAAATATAACAATTTTTACTGTAATTTTATGTTTTAAAGAAACCTTCCTAACCTGATTAATAAGTTCAGGATTTATTTGTAAATTTTGTTGATTTCTATATCCTATATGTATTTTTCTTGGAGTAGCGCAGGTTTTAGAAATTGCAGAGAAAATCGCTCGAGATAAACGACAATAGGTAAATGACATCATTTTCATTTTCAGTAATAATGGTAATAATGGAAAGTAACTCGGTTCAGAACTGCGTTAAGAAGTATAGCACGTACATTCCATTGCAGTTTTTATGATAAGAAAATAGAGCAATAGAAAGTAATAAATTCTGATATATTGAAGGCTAAACAGCATATGGCTAACAATAGATACCTCACAAAAAAAATTAATTTAATGTCCTCGAATCCTCGAATTAGACTCATTTAAGTACAATTTACACAAAAAAATCAAATTATAACTTATATCATGAAAGTTGCACAATCGTTAAATACATGTGGCTGTCAAATATACCTTTTCTTTAGGCTCTTTAGCTGCTTTGAGTTTTCTCACTAAATCTCCTTGTTCTTTAATCTGATCTTGAATATCCGACATGATAATAAATTATTCAGCACATAAACTATATTAAAATTAAATTATTTACTATATTATAATTATTATAAAACTACAAAATATGACGTTAAATGCACGGCGTTCAATTGCGGATTGTTCGCATGGCAGTTTCTTCAAACGACTGAACTTGCTCGCTAAATTGCAGCTTTCATTGTGTGAATAAAATAAAATATAGGTCAATTTGATTGCATGCTTTAACGCAAAAAATTGACATTATGATTATGCAAAAAATCAATAATTTATAATAATTATTTTAGGAAATGCCTTCATGAGTTTCAGAAGTCCATAAAAAAAAACTTAACCTCAAAGTATGCTCCAAGGAAAAGGATTCAAAACTGTTTAAGCTGAATTAAATATTGGTGTACAGGATTATATAAGACCACATTTATTTTATTACAAATATTATTTATTAAAATGAGAAGGATTTCAACCCGAACTTTAATGAAAGTCGCCGCCTATGGCGCAGTAGTGTTGTTGGCACTGGTTTATACCTCCAAAATTCTGTAAAACAGAATATCAGAAACACAGAATTTTACAAATCAGCATTAAAAACATTAAGAGCTCATCCAGGAGCTATCCAATTCCTAGGTGAACCCATAAAAGACAATGGATTTAATTATAGAGACACACAAAACAATAATTTTGATGATACAAAAGCTACATTTGCTGTTAACGTTACCGGCTCAAAGGACAAAGGTGTAATGTATTTCTGGGCAGATAAGTTAGAAAATGATTGGAATGTTAATCGAATGGAGCTGGAACTGAAAAGCAGACCTAACGAAAGGCTAAAAATTGTTGGAGATTCTCAAACATCAAAGTAGTCATGAATTAAATGTGCATATTGTGATATGTTTAGTAAATTGTTGTAAATAGATATGTTAATATATAGATTGATTAAAGATTGATATAATGTTGCTTAGTTTCTATTTTTCTGAATATTCTAAGACAGATAAAACATTGCAGAATAAATATAGCACAATGTAATTATGCAAGAGTTACAATATAACTAACAATAAGATAAATATAAGAAATTAAGATTAAAAATAGTAATGATAACACTACACATTTCAAAAATATCATTAACGGTATCTATGTAAAAAAGGACCCATTAAAACCCATTAAAACCCATTAAAACAATGTAATTATGCAAGATTCACAATTTAACTAACAATATAAATATGAGGATTTAAGATTAAAAATGGTAAAAATAACACTACAGTAAATTATAGTAATTGTGAAATCCTATCTTATAATTTTTTGTATTTTGAAATTATCATTATTCTCGGTATCTATGTAAAAACTATATTAATGTAACCACATATACTATAGTTATGAATTAAATTATTAAATAGGGATCTATTGCCCCCTATTGATAGTATTTTCCAATTATCAAAGAGCAAGTAAAAATTAATTCCATCCATTTCATCAACTTTTATCAACTGCACCAAAAACTTATTTACTTAAATCCGCTCAAACTGGTTGAAAACTTAATGTATAAATAATTTTATTAACAAAATTAAACTATACAACATGCAATGTATAATTTAATACATTGTAAAAAAGTATAATAAACAATTCATCAAATAAATTTATTTATATGTTAACATATAAATCAATAAGTTTCAAATTTTTTGATATGATGATCAAGTATTTAAGCTACAAGTTTACCTACTTGTAATTATAGACTTATTATTTCGCTCCCAAAACAGCTTAAATTGCCCACAATTTATTAATAATATAGTTTGTCAAAGTTTTTAACAAAGCCAATTGTTAGGCAAACTGCACAATTAGTGTTTCTAAGGTCTTACACTGAGAAATTACACAACCATATTTACTAATTTTATGTTTTCTCTAGGTTTCTGAAGATATTCTGAATCAATATTGAAAAAAGTAGGTATTCGTGTATGTGTATGTGAGTCATAATTTACCTTTGCATCTTTAGGTAATGACGAACACCCTGAATCATAACCTTACAAAAAGTATTCACTTATAAAATGTACTGAAGTCTGGAATAATGAGTCGCTCCCTTAGGACGTACTCCGTGTATGTTCTAACAGCAGCCGAGGGCTTACAAAGGAGTACTCGTAACAATTGCACTAATTTAAGTGATTATTACTAGTTAGTAATTTATAAGATTTAAACTATATGCCATAAAGAACTAATTTTGGTTCTATTGTACAAAATATGTACTTATTAATAACTTGTAAATGTGTGATCACACGTGTGGTCACTTTCAAAATAAACAATTTCATTATAAGTTGAAAGTTGATATATCTCTATTCTTATTAATTAATTGGTTATTTGCACATATCTGCCTGCCCATCAACATTCCTGAAGGCTAAATGCCACTTACATCTTAACTTGCACAATTTATTCATCCTTTTTTTGTTTTGAATTGGAAATAAATACTGAATATATTTAGAAAAGTAGCAAAGGTGATAACCATGTAGGCTGTTACATCAAAGTTGCCTTTGTCCTTTCAGTTACGTAAATGTTACGTGTAACTTTACGCCGGTTACGTAATGTTAAAGGTTTTATTACGTCTTAAGGTTTACTGGATAAAGACTTTGTAAATATAGTGCTATAAATTATTTGATGTTGCTTATATACTGAGGTACAATTAAAAATATTATAATGTACCTATTATCAATTCCTTTTTTGAATTGTAGATAAAACAAATTAGTTATTAACTTTTTCTAGGTATCTCTCTGTTGAATTGACTGTCTGCATATCACAAATCACTTGGGTTCAATATTCCAAAGCCAATACATGATGTGCCAACTCATGCAAGTATATTAGATTAATTAAAACCAAGATTACAGTTAATATATTTTTAATTATAAACAAAGAATAAATAACAATATTACAAGGTACCGGTATTATAATAAAATGCTTATATTCTTAATTAATCTATTAAAAATAACGTCTCTTGCATTAACCGTTCATGAATTCTCTAAAATATGAACAAAAGACCAAAATTCTTCCATTTCTCATTTGTAACAATAACCACACCACATATATACATTTACACGCTTATAATTTACAATTATTTAATTTAATTTTTTCTATATACAATTGGCACTCCCTTTTCATGAAGGAATGTAGTAAAATACAGTCGATATCTAGACTTAAGTATGCTGAGATGTTTACAAGTGCAAAATCATAGTTACAAGTATTTTTATTATTATGCGAGAGCCCAAATTATTTTCAAAAATGTATATTATGATAATTCTCTTTTAGAAGAAAAGAATTGATTAACAAAATATTTAATATATTATAATTCACAATCAATATCCCCTAATTTGTATACAAAGCATAAACTTTTTTCATAATAAAAGAAGAAAAACATCACAAAAAAATTATTTTAAATATTCAAAAGTAAAAATTCAGATATAAAACTCTAAAAAAATATACATACTATCATAAATTACTTTTGAAAATATTATAAGCTCTGGTATTACTTTCATATAAAGTCAAACTCTTTCCAATGCTGTTAATATCCCTATTAAATCAGGCATGAGGCCGCATTATATTAAATATTTCCAACAAACTATTATTAAATTATCATTAAAAGTTTGACTTAAAAAATCGAGTCAGAAGGATTCCAGAATTTTATATAAAAATTAAATCTGAAACGCATAAAAAATCTATATAATATTTAATATAAATGAATAAAAAAACTGATGTCAAAAATATATTAATGTAAAACTTGAATAAAATTTGTGTTCCTTATCACAAAATTTTAGAATCCTTCTCATGAATATTTTAGTACTAAAACGTACTGCTACATATTTTATAGAAAAGGTAATAAGTATTAAATATATAGAAGATAAAACATCCTTCTATCTGATTACCCAAAAGTTTCGTAAGCTATGTCAATATATCACCTCAAAAAAAATTCTATTTTATATGAACACCTCTCAATTATTAAAGATTTTTGCTAGATATTTTCTTCAATGTTTAGAAGTAGCTGTGTGTGATCTATACAGAGGATTAGCTCCTTTAATAGGCAGTGGATGAGCTTCTGTATTGAAAACCCATTTGTCTAATGGTATCAATGAATCATCCGAAAACAATAAATATAGATACTAAAAGAAAGAAAATGTTTGTATTATTACATAATCGTAAAATGTAGATTTGTTATGTATTGTATAAAAACTCACTTTTAAAGTTTCAGCTAAGAAGAAGCTTTGCTGAACATCATCCTTAGGTGAATCTTCTAAGTACACATTTTTAATACCAGTGTAACCTCCCTGGCTCGACAATTTTTTTTCAATTGCCTATAAAATGATGAACAATTAATGAACTACATTTTCAAATTAAACGAAAAAATCTTAAGAGTATGATAGAGAGAATTATCTTAAAATAATATTAAAATTGAAAACTAAAATTGGGTAAAATTATAAAGTTATTCATTGAAGATTTGTAAAAATAATCAAAACTACTGTAAACTAGATGAATGATTAAGAATTGGAACTATTTATATACCTGAACTGCTTCCCATCCCCAATCTCTATATTTTTGATTTTTAGTTAAACGCCATAACACAAAGTAACTTTCAATCGTTTCTGGTCTTAATATATAGTATTTTTCTGTCGTTTTGATTGCCCTTGCTTCCACTGCTTCCGTAAATCTACAGAAATAAGTAATATAAATATACAATTAAATGCTCTGCATTAGAAATTAAATAAATACTTTATCGATATCGGTAGAAAAATTGTTTGATACAACATTTCAAAGAATAGTAAAAAACACAAGTAAAAATGACTATTTAGTATAGCAAAAATCAAAAAACTTCGTTTTTATAGTAATTTTAATAGTACGCTTTCATTAATAAATATTGAGTTCCACAGAAAATAAAAATTCTCACTTCTCTGCTCTAAATAACAACTAATAAACATTATAGGTCTAATGCAAATTTCATTCAGTAATCTATAAAATATAATTTTAATTCTTGAACTAAACTTTTATAGTATCTAGAATTCTAAGAATTTCTATCTTAGAAATAATTTGTAAGCCCAATATTTACATTTGCCAAAATAATTCAAAATTTATACAAAATAACAATTTTTAAAATTGAATTCGCTTATTAATGAATATGTTTATGAAATGGAAAATTTACCATTTGGATAATTTACCTGAAACTCTCTGGACCAAGTTTTGTAGGTGTCCTATCATAAGATTCGTGGCAAGTGGCTGCAAGTTGCTCACCAATTAATAAATAACTATCAGATACATCATTTTGCAAAGTTTGTGCACCAAGTCCATATAAACCACCTGTGAAGGTAAAAATAAAATTAGTAAAATACAATATAAAATATATCTATATATTTAATTAACTGATTTCGAAAAATATTTCAAATAGCAAAGATTTATTATGATTATTCTGTAAAAATTAGCAACACATCTGATAACAAAACTAGTGGTGTATGGCATCGTGCCTTAAGGCAAATTTTTAGAACTTCCTGTACCGTATTCGAGGAATATTATATGTTTTCAAATAGATTATTAAATACTGTAACTTATAAATGTTTACCGAAATAAATAAAATAAACAAAACTTAATCAATCAAATTTAAAATGAAGAATGAATGAATAAATTCTTATAAGTATATGTCCAATTTATAAGAAATTTACATAATAATAATAGTCCAATACTTATGAGAATTATGTAAACTGAATTGCAAAGTTAAAATTATTTGAAGTATATAAGTGAACTTTAGTTATAATTAAAATTAAAATACGAATGATTTTCGATATAAAAAAAACAAATTTTGAAAATTAAAAAAAAATGAGATAAAAACTTCTTTGCCCAAACGCAATCGTTTCGTTAACACAAGCAGAAAGTTTTTTGAATTATTCAAATCGGATGCTCGATTTCTATTTTCTGCACTTTTTGCTCCGTATCTTCGAAACGGCTTGACCTGCCTTTGCTAATCAGCACATATCCCTATCAATAGAAAACGAATAATTTTTGACGAAATCGTTGACGAAAAAATGTGGACACACAAAACACACACATGTAGACATGCACACACACACACACACATCCATTTTTTCTGAGGTATGCCAAAATGTTCAGAACCCTTCAAAACGTGAAGAAATGCAAACATCTTCATTTTAGATTTTTGGCCCATTACAATAACTTACCCTACGGGAAGTTAATAAGAGTAATTAGTGATGTACATGAGAATGTTCTTTAAAACAATTTGCATAAACTTCTCGATATGTGTAGATAATCTTTATAGTAAGATGTTAATGATCAAATTAGGAACAGCTAATTATGAAAATAAAGTTTTCGCTTTTTGATTCCTGATTAATTCAAAATAAAGAAAATAATATACACAGAGCGTGGCCCAAAATGTTAACTTCCATGAATTTTATAGACCAATAATTTATAGGATGATCTCATTTAGTTGATAACTCTCACCATGCAGTTTGTCATTTGAAACTCAAATGATTAATTACAAACTAATGAATAATTAAAAATTAATCAGCACTATTCCCAACTTGTTACAAATAACTAGTAAATTTGGAGTTGGTTCAAAAATTTTAGCGAGAACATAGACAAAATATTTTCTAAACTAATGAATAATTAAAAATTAATCAGCACTATCCCAACTTGTTACAAATAACTAGTGAATTTGGAGTTGGTTCAAAAATTTTAGCGAGAACATATACAAAATATTTTCTAAACTAATGAATAATTAAAAATTAATCAGCATTATTCCCAACTTGTTACAAATAACTAGTGAATTTGGAGTTGGTTCAGAATTTTTAGCGAGAACATAGACAAAATATTTTCTAAATTGATCTATCTTATTAAATATTATACCTGCAAAGCATGCCAAATGATCCATTTTGTGTTCCACTTTTTCGTATTTAAGTTCAGCGACATAAGTCAATCCGGACTGATGCGATCGCTTGATCATTTTTTCGGTGATCGCAGCCATCGCTTCGTCGTACATGACTCTTGCTTCGGCGTCCTGCCGACCACTCTGAAGCCAAGCCTTAAGAAGGTACTCAAAGAAACTATCACCTAGGGCTCCTAGGGACATGTGATCTGGAAAAGAGTAAAGGAGGTAAATTAATATTAAAAATTCAAAATCGGTAAGTTTTCTATAATGAAATAAAGGGGCGTCCATTAATCACGTGATCGTTCTTTTAAAAAGATTTTTGGACCCCCCCTTCCCTCTTAGTAATATGTGGTAATTCAAAAGTAAATTCAAAATTACCACCCTCCCCCGCAAAACATCACGTGTATTTTCAGTTACGAGAAAAAAAAATTCGATTGTTTTTTAAGTGTTTGGAATTTTTTAAAAGAAATCAAGTAAACTAGTGGGGTGCTGAGTTATCGTTTTTGGCACTTTTTGCCCCGTATCTTCGGAACGACTAGACCTGCCTTAGCCAAAAACTAATCAGCACGTCTCCTTATCAAACGAATCGAATGTTTTTTGAATTACTCAAATCGGTTGATCCATGTTCCCGAAATCGTCGACGAAAATTGTATCCGAACACACACACACACACACACACATACATCCATTTTTTCTAAGGTATGCAAAATGTTCAGAACCTTTAAAACGTAAAGATATATAAAAATTTCATTTTCTATTTTTTGCGATTACTATAAACTTGCCCACCGGAAGTTAAAAATAAATACACGTGATATTTTACTATACCTCCCTCTCCCTAAAAACCTCACGCGATTAATGGACGCCCCCTAAGACCAAAACAGACAGAATATACGTATTAGAGATGGGTAACTCACTCCGAAGTTATCACTCCGATACAACTCCTCCCTCGGAGTGAATCCGAGTGGAGTTGTCTCGTCGGATTTGGTCATATTCGACTTCCCTAAACTGGTACTAAATCTGTTACTGCGTTTTTGCTTTGGGAAGGAAGCTGTCGTTTTCTCGTCTCAGGCAGTTTTTATGACCTTGTAGGTATACGGTACAGAACAATGAAATTGTGTTCAAGTGTGAATAGCTCCAATGTATAATTTATTGAATAGTAAGGGGTCATATTTCTAACTACGACAATCTTTACGACGGCCGTGAATGACGGCAACCAGGAATATACATATCGAAAAATACACGAAACAAAATACATTTAATCTGGTTTTTCCATGGCCTGAAATAACAATACTTTAGAGCGCAAAATATATCAGTGACGTCAATAGTATTTAAGCAGCAAAAAATATATAGTATTAAATTTTTACTTTTACACAATTATATAATTGTCTAAAAGTAATAATATGCTAATCGAACTACCCGATATAATATTAATTCTCAAATGGAAATAGCAGAAGAAAATTAGAAAGCAGAAGTATTATTATTTGGTGAAAATATTTTATGATAATGTTTTGCTTTTATTATAAAGTTTACTACATTATTTTTATATAAAATTAATCAAAAAAATCACTTATTTTCTCATCAAAAGAAGATAATTAAATTGAATTTGATCCTCGTTTTTTGCGTTTTTACTTTGTCAAACACTTACGAGTCAT